ATGGTAAATGTTGAGAAGTTGACTGATAGCACATAGCCCAGAACTGCATAACTCTCGAGACTGCTTATCAGAGATAACACCCAGAAACATACCTTCTAATCTGGAGGGAGATTAGCGGATTACTATGGTAACAAGTTAGAAGTTATTATTGGCCCGGTTACCTGACTTCCAATATAGTTTAAAGAGTAACCCGTTTGGCTGTAGTAAAAATGAAGATACATTTTTTCAATGACTCCGTAGATATTAATGAAAAGGTTCATCCTCGAACCTACTTTTTCCACTGAAAGTGGTTAACAGCGGCTGTGGCTCTAGCAGGTTCACACTGCATATCTCCCAGTAAAGTTACCATTTCATCTAATATTATCTGCTTCACATTGGCTTCTGTGTGCTCTAGAAATCGGTCTGTAAACCAATCCAGGCAATGCTCTGCTACCAAACCACTTCCTGCTCCTGAGAATACATCCTTCATTAGGTAGTGGAAAGACTCAGAGGAGAAATCGGTTATAATCAATTAAACCATCGGGATGTAACATACTGCATGGATCAAGCATGGTCACCATCTATCCACAAACGCGCGCGCTAAAATCACGTGGGTATAAATCACTTTCGCCAAAATGTTGTTTACGCGGCTTCCATAAAAATTATTTTCCAGAAAATTCCTATAATATTGCCACACTGTCCCACAAAAATTAAGAATCAAAAAAAGTAAATTAAAAGTTACCTGAACTCTTAACGATAGCAGTAAGAATACACGCTGTAGGTCGGAGATACTTAATTTCACTGTAACTAAGTTTCTCTTTGCAGTAATCAAACACCACACCCATGAACTGAGACGGATCTAAAGATTTGTTCTTCGCATTAGGAATAGTCAGCACCCAAAACAGCGAGGATATTACTTCTAGACACCTGATACAAAAACCGGGTTTACATCGAGAACATTCTTGTCTTGGTTTTCTTATCTAGATTAACGAATCTATTTGTTAGTAAGAAAAACACTACTCCTCCATAATATAAAATGTTTTAAAAAGAGGTTTTTTACCTTTCACGTAAGTCTCTATTAACTCCTCCAAATATTTCCTGTTTCACATCGTTCCAAATAAGAATTAAGTGTTCTTCAGTACATCCGATACCATACGACGTTATACATAACTTCAACGTTTCACAACTCTGGATTCTGGTCTGAGATAATGTATATATGTAATATGTATTATAATAACTTAAGTAAGTACTAAGTACCCTAAACAATTAAAAAGGAAGACTCCTGATTAGGATCCCCTTGAACAATATATTGTTCAAAGTCTGTTTGTTTACCTAAAAAACACAAACCTGCATAACAGAGCTGGTAAACTTGTCCAGCAAGAAGGGAATAGCGTGTTTAGCCAGTTTGTTGTTAGCTTTAAAGCAGTTGTTAAGTCTGTCTCTCAGATCTTCTGGACTGACTTTTACATCAGCGTCATCCGGTGGGGTGAAATCAATAGGGTAGTAACAGGATATAACGTCAAATAGTGTTTCTTCTATATTATCTGATAGTAAATCACCAAATTATTGATAGAATAATAGTATATAGCTAACAGTATGACATATTCGAATTTCAGCTTTCCGCGACCCAAATTTTGCTGTTTCGACTGAATTTTTCTTTAATGACCATCTTACAAGGTCACTGAGGGTGGCACAAGACACGATTGAGGTACTCAAAGTTCTATTCCCTAAGAAAGCTTTGATAAACGGAAAATCATCACAATATAAAAAGAGGTTTTGGACTATTTTTAAAGAGAAGCTTTTCTGCCGTCCCCTTGACCGAAATTTCGCGGTTTTGACTGAAATCAGAATTTCAGAATATAGTGCAATTTGTTGTGCCATGTATTTTGCTGCCAAATTCCGCCTTTTTTTCTTCATTACGCCAAAACTTTCAAGTTTTTAGCATTTATCAAAGTATAAAAGTAAGTAAATTATAAAGATAACAAATATTACCAAGGTTGAAGTGTTGAAGTACAATTACTGTCATGTTAAATATAAGCATCAGATTCCGCGGGTCCTGCTCTCCATCGATCAGATTAATGTAACTCACAACAAACTCATTGTTCATTCCTTCCAGTAAACCTGAAACAAACACAAATAAATACACATGGGAGGGGGGAGTTCGTCTGAGGAGTACTTATGGGATGAATCATGAATGGAGAAAAATGTTGGTTAAATTATTACGAACTGTTCTCCATTCTTGCGGTCACGAACAGAGCTATTAGAATTCAGTATTGGATATTATATCTGTTAATAAGTTTGAATTATGTTCCAGTATAGATACCTAATACTATTACTACTAGTTCTTACTGAGTAAGTTGCAGTGTAATAGGGAGTATAGGAGGGTGTATGCCTTGTGTCTTGTGTCCTGAGAATGTTCATTATAAATATACGGAATAAAGTGTTAAGAATTTAGAATATACAATAACATTTTAAGGCGTTCATAAACCAGGGATTGTTAATGATTTTAATCGGCTAATTTTGGAGGTTTAGAAATTGACCACTCAGATTTCTCGGGAAAACACTGAAAGGATTGGCCATTTTCTTGGACATTGGACAAGAACAATATCAAACAATGAATGATGATAATTCCCTGAAGTACAGTACCCTCTAGATTCTAGAATAAACCATTCGTTACAACCCTGTCCCACCTGATGCAGTGCCTGTACATCAACCGACTGAGCTAACTCTTTAGCTATCAAACAAGCAGTGCTAGAGTCTACTTCTCTCTCCTTCACGTAGCCTGTCAGTCCTGACAGTATCTTGGGAACTATGCTGTACTTCTCTGAGAGTCTCCCGCATAGAAACTTTATTAGAACTACCACTGGGAATTGTGTGTTGTGAGAATATGGTGCATAGTATTATTAGGAGCAATATTCATTATAAATCTGATAGCTATTTAAAGGTATTAGTTGAGATGTTGTTGTTATCAGAGCTTAATTGTTAACTTCTTCAGATTTGTGTTCGATAAGTTCGATAATGGCAATAGGTGAGATATTTTAATTTTAAACAAACCTTCAGAATCGTTAAGTTTAGACTTGACAGATACGTCCACTAGCAAAGTAATAGCATTAAGTCGGACATCATCAACTTTAGAGGTAATATGCTGCCTGGGTGAGGGAAAGAGTTACGAATTAATTAACGTATTTTAAGTTATGCATCTTCCTTTTTGTTTAATTAAATTAGCAAGTTCATCAAATAGGCCTCCAAACTGTAAACTATTTCATGTGCTTTATATTATGTTACAGACCAGTACACTCACTGAAGCAGCTGAACAAATTGCAGTATTGAGAATCTGTGACCATTCTCAGCCACAAATTCGAATGCTTCCTTATTCGGTTCTCTGATGTAGTCATTGCACGCCAGCTCAAATCTTATCTTTGCTTCTTCGTCAGTCATTTTATCTAAGTTGGATTGAATCGAAATTTCAACCATGTTCTATACATCTATCTAGAGATAAGACAGCATTATACATAAAGTATATGATATGTAATATGTATTATGTATACGTTATTATAATGTAACCTTTCAAACCCACAACGTTCAATATCTTATGTAAAACTGTAATTCCAATAGTTAAGCCCTGATTTACTTGGATTCTTTGGGTTAATTAAGCTAAAAGATTTGGGTTTCTGATTCACACTTAAGAACAGTGAACTTTTGAATGGACACTACTAAAGAACCTTGAGTGCTTGTACAATTTACATTTATGTACAAGACATGATAATTCAGGATTTTCATAGTAAAACCAGCTTGTTAGTATACTGAATAAAACTTCAATATGTATAGTTTGTATACTGTAGTATCGACTATAGAGCAATAAATATACCATCATGTCATAAATAATAAATTAATGATCTATGAAGTACAAGTATAGTTAGTGGATATATAGAAAGTCCTAAATCCTTATATTTAGGTACATAGATATTATATTCTGAGATGTTTCTATTTCTTTAAACTTTAATAATCGCAAGTTTCTGTTGTTCCATTCTTCTATTGCACTGGAAAATCTTGTTACTCACTGCATTATCTACAGTATTATTGCTCACACTTTCTTCTTTTCCAGAGATCTAATTCAATGCATCCTCTTCCATGCGCTCTGGTTTCAAGCCACCCTTACTGCCTCCAATCTCAGTTGCAGCTTTTTCCCTCAAATCCAAAGCAAAAGCCTGGCCTTCTGCCAGATTTGGCCTCCGTCTTGCTTCCACTTCTCTTATCCTGTGATATTTGGTCATTCAACACACTTTTCGTTGTACATGACACAAAAGTTTTAAAATGATAATCATCAAAGCAGTACAGAGGATAATAAGTGAGAAATAGTTTAGAATATTACAATATTTAAAACAATCACCTTGCTTAATAAATCAACACGTTATTAGTGTGATAAAAAACTCAAAGACAAGGTTTCAAGTTGCTCAATGTAGAATGTAGATCTACCTTCCGGAGTTACTTCCGGAGTTACTTCCGGAGTTACTTCCGGAGTTACTTCCGGAGTCACTTACTCGTCAATAATTTCCTCCTCCGTTGGGAACTTCAACTGACTGTATAAGTCTGGGTGTTTGTGTCTCAGCTTCATGACCCTGTTGTTCATGTTCATTCTAAAGTCATTTATCTTGGTAAACAGATTATGATCTGGCTTCTGAAGATGCTCGTCAATGGGCATGTTGTAGGTATCAGCAATTTCCCACAACCAATCTGGATAATCTTCATCAGGTCCTAGGATTGGATCTTCTTCCCCTTCTAAAGGAGATGCCCCTCTGCATCTAGTGAAGAAAATAAGCTCATTATTCGTTGTTATCATTTCAAGACAGATCAATGGATCCCTTACTAAGATTCCTGAGAAAATGCGATGAGTCTGGATTTTGGGCAATTGAAAGTGCGATTCCCAGCCCCCCACCCACTGCCCCCACATGTCTTGTGCCAACTGAAGAACTAAGGTACCTCAGGGCCAATCTCATCTACCTCTGGAGAGGAATTATGAAACTTCAATTTAAATAGTTCTCAGGAATATGCAGGAATCTAGCCGGCTATAGTTGGTTAGCTCGCAGAATCTAGTTATGAAGATTGCGTGTTCGAGGCTAGGTTGAATATAATTTTCTTCCCACTTTTTTGGCAAATATGAGTAACTAATGATACCTCGGTAATATAATTAGCAAAGTACGATACAGTGTGGTATGGAATTGAGGATGAGACATAATAAAATCGTCATCCGGCCCCGAAGCAGCCGAAACATTTGCATTTATAGCCGTTATAAAAATATATAGCCTTATTTTTTCTTTTCCAGACTGTATTCCTAGCCACCTTTTAAATTTATGCCACTGCGGATACCCGTCGTCTAGTCTTAGACAACAGACGAGGAGATCGCATAGATTCAATGGATCCTTAGCTACTCCCTAGACGCGTTACGTCGAAGTTTTTATAATATAAACAACTGATAAAATACACCATACACGTGTATATTTATTTTATTTATAGTTATTTATTTTGTGCGATAAGCCTAACTCACAGTCTCGCATGAATCTTGACCTGGGCAATGGATCTTTTGTTATAGCTTATTCAAGTTTTACTGCTATATTATGAATAATTACACTGTAAAATATTCAATATTAACCTAGTGAAATCAGGATCACAAGTTCGGGGTGCTTTCCTAGCCAAAGCTGCCACTTGTGGTTTCTTCAAACACAGTGCTGAAAGATTTATCAATTAAGATTAATTAGTTCAAATTCAAATTTGTTTTGGAAAAGCATCTCAAAAAAATCTCTCAAGACAAATTAAAATTCTTCATTAAATAGGTAGTTAGCAATAAGAACGATTTGGTTTTATAAGAAAATTGATTTGATTTTCTCACGTTAAAGATAAAATAAATTAACAAACCTGTTGTTGTAATAGATCTGTGGAACATTCCATGAACTCTCTTCACATGATTCATATTTACATAAAGCTGCAAATAATTGCTGACATCAGGATATTTTATTGAGTGATTAATCTTGAGCCCTGAACAAATATTAAAAGCAACTATTTTAGTTGATGCTGCCACTACCACATGTGATGGGTAAAGTCGTGATTTGATGGGTTGCTCTGTTATAAGAGCCCGGCCACATTCCCGGGTACACCTTGCATTGTCAAGCTTTACTTTCTCAAAGGACACACTAATAATATCAAAATATGATGAACATTGAATAAAATTACATTCCAAATATTAGATCATAAGATCCAAGTGCTCTATCCAATCCGCTTTACCATTGACATCCCAAACAATAGCTATATTTAAGTTTAGATTTTCAAAAGGAGAACGTTATTTTCGAGATTTCAAATAACCCGGAATGTTATACATTGGGCGTTTGATAATAGTGGTCAAATGTCACATATTATAACGTACTCTATCTATGTGCAGTATGCTGCAAACATATCGTCATGGTATTATATTGGAAGGGCAAATGTCCACAACGATATCTGGTACAATTCCACTTGTCTCTGTAACCCCCAAATCTATGCAGTATGCACAGTTTTTATTCCCATTTGAGCATGAGCCAATATCTCACACATTGTTTTAGCTACCTATATACTATGTAGTGATTTCAATCATCTATATGCTTTATGGACCCTTGTTACTTCTTTTGGATCACAAGATAGCCAAAATGTAGCTTTACGCAGGAAGTCTTTTTTTTAAAGTTGATACTTGATACAAGAGGAAAAAAGTTGATACTTGATACAAGAGGAAATGCCAAGCTCTTGGATGTGAGAAAGATTGTTTCACCACAAACGTCATTATATATTATCTTCCTTCTGTGTCATCCTGAACAATTATAACATCCTTCAACACAACTTAGAAACAGAAACTAATCATGTGACTTAAAAATTAACCGCTTATAAGCCACGGGAAATAACCAATTGAATAACCAATTACCAACAGCATTGTGCAAATTATTTTATGGAACAACTACAGTGCAACTGCACTGTTCAACTGTCTGATTGACCATTGTTAATGGTCTGGCCCGGCACGTGCTACTTCGTACTAGATATTTTATTTATTTTCTAACAGACGACAACTTCCTGTTGTTTTTTTTTTCTATATTAGTTACTCATATCTCTTGTACAGACTGTTTTACAAGGACATTGACAGATGATACTCACATTAGGCATTCATTATTGCATCTAAATTATTTCACTTGCTTTAGGTTTAGAAATTTATTCTCTGGTTAACAGATTTCAATTGTTTAATTAATTTGTAGTATGACAGTAATTAGGTAATTAGGTATATAAGAAGTTATTTAATTTTGCTTGGGCTATTATATTGACTATTGAGGTTTAATGATGATATGGAATTTGAATTTCATATAAATTTACACTATGTGGTTGGGGCATTTTGCATAGTAAATATGGTTACTACTCCTATATATCATATTATTTGATTGGTATTCGATTTCTGATTATTTCCCTAGGAATATGATTATTATATCTCAATTTGGCTTTAGGTAGGGTGCCCCGCTAAAAGAACTGGATTCTTCCAGGAAGCATCCCGTGCACAGAGCTTGTTCTACATATATATTAAATTATTAACCATTCATTCTGTATGTGCACGAAAATTTATTTCAATCAAAGCACTTGCCATTAACATTTCGAGAAGGAAGCGGCGCGCTACTTTGAAGAAATTTAGACGAGTAACATCCGTCAACTGTCTGATAGCACCCGGGTTACATTGATTTGTGTGGCGTGTATTCACAGACTGTATTTTCAGCGAGTAGCAAGAGCAGGGGGCCGGGGCTAGTTAAATAAAACAATGAGACAGCATTTCTATTACTGGACAGCGCCAGCCTATCGCTCCCCTATATATTCAATCAGATTTTGTGAGACAGTAACATCTGCGCCGAATATTTTTTTCGATCTATGACTTAGGTGCCAAAGGCACAAAAGGAAAAAGAGTCAAGGCCAATTAGGGTTAGCGAACAACGTTTTTTGTATTATATGTAATAACTCGCCCACGTTCGCGTTAGTTACTGCGTAAAGTTATTTTGCGCAACATTCTGAATTAAATTATTGTCGCGGCGCTAAACGGGCGTATTTAAATTTTGATCGTTCGGCGTTCAATACTTTGTACATTTTACATAATTGTAAATGTTGATTTCGATTTTAATGGTAAGTATTTAAAGTTAAGGTGTACAAATTTGTACTTCATATTTTAAATTTTTATATTATCTTCACGATAACAAATTTATTTAAAACCAAAATTAACTCGAATCCTAAAGCATAAACAATAAACAGCTCAAATATCGTTTTACAATCCTGTCACGTGCATGCGTTTGACAAAAATGGTTATGATTTGCTCATAACTCGTCAAAAAATGATTTTTGTGCTATGTAATAACAAATAAGTCTCATTTGAAATCATCCTAGTCTTTTTGAGAGCTGGTTAGACGCTGGTTCTGTTATGTCAACCTCACTATCTGCTACAAAGGTGTGCCATATATGTAATGCTAAAGCAACAAGAGGATTTTCTTGTCTTGGGCCATGTAAACAGTGGTACCATGTTAAATGTGCTGGACTGAAGAAAAGAGAAGAAGAGGTGTGTAAAACATGCAACGATATATATGTAAATGTAAATAAATGTAAACAGTCTGATGTAAATAAGACCAAAGACGATGTAAACATACACAAAGAAACTGACGATAGTGTAATCCTTTGCCCAGCATGCAGCACAACAGCCGATCGTGGAGGGGATGTTGTTGGATGTGACGGTGTTTGTGGAAAATGGTTCCATGTTACATGCCTTACAGAGGGCGATCAAGCAGTTGGTGATGGATATTGGTACTGTTCCTCTTGTTATGGTAAAGAGGCTTTCCCTGGCTTTCCAAGTTTTGTGAAGACAGCTGACTCAACACCCGCAACATGGGGTTTGCTCAAGGGACCTTTTATCAAAGAGACATTTGGCAATGCCTATGATGAAATAATCAAGTGGAAGAAAAACCTGTTCAAGGTTCCTTCTGGTGCTCAAGGTAAAGCATATGTGAAAGCGACTACTAAAGTCATCAACTTTTATGTTAACAACTCCCCCCTCCAAAATGTGGCCATGACTGCACTTATGGTTATGCCAGCCCTGCTCCTTCAAAAACCCTCCAAACGATCCAAAACAAAGGACACCGTCAGACATCTTGAAGATTGCCTCAAACTTTGGGAAAAAGGAGACATCAAGGGCCTCATCAAAGAAGGTAAAGCTATTCAGAAGCGTATAACATCAAGCAAGTTTACTCCCCAACATACACACAAAATATTCTCCAAGCTCATGCTTCAAGGAAAGGTGTCAGCAGCGCTCAGATGGGTAACAAATAAAGCTGGGGGCCTCCTAGAGCCAACACCAGAAACTATCAAGTTGCTAGAGAGCAAACATCCTGACCCACAGCCTGAAGAGTCCTTCCTCGTAAGCAGTCTACTCAGCAAGGTGGGCCTGGAAAAAGTAGACAATGTTATATTCGAAAACATAGATAGTGAAGCAATCCAGAAGGCAGCAAAGAACACCAATGGATCAGCCGGCCCCTCTGGCTTAGATTCTGATGGTTGGCAACGTATCCTTTGCTCTAAGTCTTTCAAGACATGTGGTGCTGAACTATGTGAATCAGTTGCCTTACTGACCAGAAAACTTTGCACTGAATTAGTCGACCCTGATCCCCTAGCATCCTTCATATCTTGTCGCCTCATTCCTTTGGACAAGAAGCCTGGTGTTAGACCAATAGGGATCGGTGAAGTTCTCCGCCGAATAATCGGCAAGTCAGTTACTACTCTGCTTAAACCAGAGATCCTAGCAGCCACTGCACCGCTTCAAGCGTCAGCAGGCCTAGAAGGTGGAGTAGAAGCTGCTATTCATGCTCTTAGAACTATGTATGAAGATGATGACACTCACGGTATCCTTCTGGTTGATGCAGATAATGCCTTCAACCGTTTAAACCGGAGAGTTGCCCTCCACAACACAAGTGTGATGTGTCCCGAGCTGTATAAATATCTTGTTAATACCTACAGAAAAGCAGCAAAACTGTACATACCAAACTCCAAGGGATTGTTTATTTTATCCCAAGAAGGTACTACTCAGGGGGATAACTGTGCTTCTGCATTTTACTCCTGTAGCCTGATGCCCCTTATGGGCAAACTCCCCACAGAGCCACCAGATATCTCCCCCGTGGTCTGTGAGAACACGAAACCTCCCCAGAAGCCTCCAGAGGAGAACAATAAGATTGAGACACCGCCAGATACTACTCCAGATAGGACTCCGGAGGTAAATAAGCCCTCCAACAAAGCTGCTAAACACATATGGTTTGCAGATGATTCTGGAGCAGCAGGAAGGCTTAAAGCCCTGAAGATTTGGTGGGATACCCTACAGGCATCTGGCCCCGTTTATGGCTATTTTCCCAAACCTTCCAAGACCTGGCTTATAGTTAAAGAGGAGTATCAAGAGGAAGCCAAGTCTCTCTTCCCGACCTTAACATCACCACCGAAGGTTGTCGTTACCTGGGTTCCTTTATTGGTACAGAGTCTGGAAAGAATAAGTTTATCCAAGCCAAATGTGTTGAATGGATAGAAGAGATCGAGGGATTGGCATCAATTGCACAGCATGAGCCACACCTTGCTTACGCCGCTTTTGTTTACGGCTCCTCTCGCAGATGGTCTTTCCTGATGAGGACCACCCCTGACATAGCAGTGAACTTGCAGCCCATTGAGGACAAGATCAGGAATTTGCTCATTCCCAACATGACAGGACACACAATTAGGTCCAACTTTGAGCGCAGCCTGTTCTCCCTCCCAGCCAAGTTAGGTGGACTAGCTATCATCAATCCAGTAGAAATTGCTGATAATGAGTACAAGAACTCACTCATGGCTAACCAGCAGCTTACAGACCACATCCTGAAGCAACACACCACTCTCAATACCAACAGAGAGGCTGGGAAAGCAGTCAAGTCTGCCATAAGCGGACTATACACGTTTCATTAACGTGTATTTTGTGCAAAGTGTATGAAAAGTTGGTGAGAGCACATGTATTAAATTTTCTAGAACATCGAATTTCGAAGCATCAGCATGGATTTGTTAAGGGTAAATCGTGTTTATCTAATCTTTTAGAGACATTTGATGACATTCTTGACATTTTAGATGAAGGTGCTCCGGTTGATCTTCTATACTTTGATTTTAGTAAGGCATTCGACACAGTCCCCCACTTTAGACTTCTGTCTAAATTGGAAGGCTTTGGTGTCAAAGGAAAGGTTTTAGATGTTATTAAAGATTTTCTTACAGACAGGACTATGAGGGTTTCTGTAGAAGGACAATGGTCCGAGGTTAAACATGTTTTATCTGGTGTTCCTCAGGGGTCAGTTCTAGGCCCTCTCCTATTCATTCTGTATATTAATGATTTGCCTGACCTTGTAAAAAATAAGATAAAGTTATTTGCTGATGATCTTAAATTAATTGGTAATGCAGCTAACCACGGTAGTGTTGCTGAAGATATCGAAGAATTAGAAGTTTGGGAAAGTATTTGGCTTTTACAATTTAATCCTGCCAAGTGCAAAGTAGTGCACATTAATTTTAACAACAATCCTAATTTAAATTATAAGGTAAATGGTATAGAACTTGAAGTATCTGCACAGGAAAAAGATTTGGGGGTTATTACCCATAGCTCCCTGCTTTGGAACGAACAGATCAAAGCATGTATCGCTAAGGCAAATCGTATGATTTGTTGGATTGTAAGGAATTTAGTTATTAGAGAAAAGGTTGTTATGATTGCTATATATAAAGCTTTAATAAGACCTCATCTTGAGTATTGTGTCCAATTGTGGAATCCACCTGCGGCTCATGGAAGTTGGGGGACTGTTTTGGAGCTGGAGAGCGTCCAGAGGCGGTTTACCCGTCTGATTGATGAGGTGGGTACTCTTCCTTACAGCCGTAGACTGGAAATCCTCAATTTGACAACGCTGGCAGAGCGGCGAATACGTGGGGACCTTATTGAAGCTTTTAAGGTTATTAATGCTATGACTGATTATGGTTCAGACTTGTTCAGACCAAGCAGATCAGGTCTTAATCTGGTTTCATCCAATAGATGTAGTAAAAGTGTGACAAAGGTCAAGAATATCCAGAAGTCTTTTCTCCCGGAGCGAGTTATTCCATATTGGAACAAACTCCCTCCGGACGTCAAGAACTCTGTGACAGTTTTAGGTTTTAAAATTAAATTAGAAGGATATAAGATAGATATGATTTCTAAAAGTATTACAAATGATTGCTTTTTTTGGAATGTTTCTAATGAAGTTTTAGTAAGAATTGAGGGAGCCAGTTATGTCAGTAATAAAGAGAAACATAACAATTATCTTTGGTTCCATCCTTATGTGGCAAAGAAGCGTTTTATAAATCTTTATTCCACTGGGAAGTTTTTAAAATAGGATAATGTTTTTGATGAAATTGTTTTTAAATATTGTATTTGATAATCAATTAATGTTGGTGGGGAAATATTTATTATATATTTTTTCACACAGTGCGATGATAGTTTGTAGACATGTGTGATGATGTGATGTCATAAATTTTACTTTACTTTACTTTACTAAGCATGTCTAATGCCAAGAGGTATGAGTCACTCAAAAACCAGCTGATGAACGATCTTCCACCTTCGATCAGTGAGAAGATCCCACATGCATGTGAAAAAGGTGCATCAAGCTGGCTGACCGGACTTCCCTATGAGAAGTACGGCTTTGTCTTGAACAAGCGAGGGTTCAAAGACGCGATAGCATTGAGATATGCTCTACCCATTGCCAACATAGCCAAGAAATGCATTTGTGGCAAAGATAACACCTACAACCACATTCTTATTTGCAAGAAAGGGGGCTTTGTCAACAGCAGACACAACCGACTGAGAGACACTGTTGCAAGCATTCTTGAAAAAATCTGTAATGAGGTTGTTGTAGAGCCCACACTCCAGCCATGCACTGGAGAAAGCCTTCGCCCTGGTACCATTCTGGATGATGGGGCAAGGCTCGACATAGCAGCTAGAGGTTTGTGGTCACCAATGGAGATGGCATTTTTTGATATCAGGGTTTTACACCCCGGAGCCAAATCCAACGCTAATCACAACACCCCAGCAAAGATGTACAGCAAGCATGAAAGAGAGAAAGAAAGGAAATATGGAGACCGCTGTGTACAAATTGAAAAAGGAACCTGCAATGGCCTTGTATTCTCGACCACCGGAGGTATGGGCCCACAGGCTACCATGTTCCTTAAACGAGTAGCAACACTTCTGGCAGCCAAGACCAGCCAGGACAAAAGCCTCATTATGGCAAATCTAAGACGTCGTTTGAGGTTTGAGCTACTTAAGACAGTATTGATTGCAGTGAGAGGACACAGAGGACGGTATTATGAGAAAGCAATACCTGTTGACGAACTGTACCTAAATCTTGCACACACCACCAACGATGAAGACAGGGGTGATGATGTTGATGATGAAGATAATGAAGTTGATGATGAGGCTGAGAATGTAGAGGAAGATGTTTCAGAAGAGTGAGCTGAAAAGAAGACAAGTTTCTATTCTAATTTATTGATTATTATATTTATTGAAATAAACATATAATATCCATTACTCCAAGAGTGATGACAGGATATTTGAAATCATCCTAAATTACATTGGTATAAATTATTTACTTGACGGATGTTACTCGTCTAAATTTCATCGAAGTAGCGCGCGCCGCTTTCTTCTCGAAATGGCCCGATGGCAAGTGCTACAAACTGGCGCGCTCCGGGCCAGACTGCAGACCAAATTAACAATGGTCAAATTCACAATCACACAGCTACTACATACTATAGTAATCAGCGTCCAAAATACACCGAACCAGATCAATTTCATACCCAAAGGGCCTTTTCACAAGAATTTTCTTAAAATTTGGGCGATCGATTTAGTAGGAGCGCCCTTTACTAAATAAAATTGATCAAAAGACGGTTCATGGTAATAATAAATCATTGTGCATTTGGAGGTTGTAAAACCGTGAGGGAAAAGACACCAGTAGCAGGAGAAGGTTTTTGGCTTTTCACTCCGTCCCAAGAGATGCAAAACGTCGAAAAATATTCAGGGTTCACATAGCCATGTGTCTACGCTTCACATACAACATAGCCATGTGTATACGCAAGCTAAGCGAGAGGGCTCTGGTTAGAGCAAATGCCGGAGTAACAAAACTGAAAACAAGCCCAGTTTCTTTTGTTCCGTAAAATTATATGCGTGCCGGACAAGGGTTGATCCATGTTACGTATCCCAAATATCAGAGATATATATGGATACACCAGGAAGGAGCATCTCTGCGCGGCGTCAACCAATTAATGCGCGGCGTCAGTAAATTCACAAGTTGTCTTATTGTCCCATGGCGCTTTTCGGCGGCACGCGCTTCGCGCGCGAAAAGTGGCATGCAACGTATGTCAAGATAATGGCTTCCATGCTTTCCAGTCGTTTTAGGTAGTTAAAGACTTGGGGACTGGTTTCTATGACAAGTATCACCCACACTCTAACTCACTTTCGAGAAAAAATGTTTTCTTTTTGGAAATTTTGAGAAGTCTGTCGCTGTAAATGTAATACTTGTATAATTATAACCTACCAAGACGCGCACCGAGTTGGACTCGACAAATATTTTACGAGTATCACCCGTTAATGTAATACCGATACTTCAGTCATTTTAAACCATGAACGTCTTTGGATGATTTTTTTGAGCGTGCTAATGGAGCTAAATCACTCTACAGTCTATCTTCGAGATTGTTCTAAAATTAACTGTGTGTTAAATCCAGAAGGATATTACATATTTTATCTAATAGGCAACAAAACATTTTCTTTAGGGTAACTTAAATGGTTGGTATGGTAAATAAACATTAGCTGTATTACTTATACTACTAAACGCAAAACGTATAAATACTTTCAAACTTAACTTACGACTAAAATATCATTACACTTTTAAAAATTAGGCTCAGTTGAAACACAGAAAAGGTTCACATTTGAAGTAGATTAACGCTGTCAAACCTCAGTTTAACTAATAAAAGTAACGTTGCTGAACTTGAGCAAGTGCTACTCACTTAAATTCAACAGTGTAACTTAAGTATAAAGCGCACAAATAATATAAGAACACAAGCGATAAAATTAATACTAAATCTAATTTTCCGCTAAAAATGGCTTACTTCCCCGGCTCAACACAAGAGTGAATACTAACTGTAGGAACGGACACAAATGTGAACATCTTATTCATAAAATACTATTCTAGAAAACATCTGACTATATTATAATAATATCAATTATCAGTAGCATGATGCATGGGTCACATACGAGGGATCATCAGGGAATTTGATTAATAAATAGCATGTTCTAAGATTCAAATAAGATGTCAAAAGATAAAACTGATTGACCGTTTCTTACGAATAGTTCTCATGGAATACGTTCTGAGAGGAGGTTCACATCCTCTAACTGAACCTCCTATATTCTCGTCATTAATCTTCTTCCCTTCAGTATCCCGTGCACTATTCTGATATTTTACTAATTTAGTGACAGCTTTTAAAGAAGCTGCACCTCTCTTAGTACCACGCTTTTTGTTCTGCTTTAGTGAAGATGATGTAAGGGATCTAGGGAGGGGCGCCACTGATCCAGGTACAACATTCTGAACGCTGAAAAACACAACACCAAGTCTGGGGTAAGGAGATAAATCGTTTTCAGGAGCAGGGAACCGGAACAGTATAGGGTAGCTGAGTCTGGAGGAGAGAAGCATCTCCGTCTGGGACAGAACACCTGACATTGCCAGAGTAGGGTCCGGAACTGAGGTGATATCAGAGTCAGCAGGTACGTAGCTCTTTGTTAGAGAGGGAGAACAAATAGGGCGAGGACTGGATATGATATCAGAGTCAGCAGGTACGTAGCTCTTTGTTAGAGAGGGAGAACAAATAGGGCGAGGACTGGATATGATATCAGAGTCAGCAGGTACGTAGCTCTTTGTTAGGGAGGGAGAACAAATAGGGCGAGGACTGGTTATGGTTCCGTATCTTCCTGGTAACAGGCAGTTGTTTAATATGTGGGGTGACTTTACCAGACCTGCTTTAGGAACGGTTATACTGTTTTTGAGTGTGTCCAACACTGCTCGCAGGTTAGGACAGCTATTTTGTAGAACAGAAGACTGGTTTTTAGGTGTTAGTGTCGGAACATTATCCCTTGAAGAACAAAGTCCTGGGTTCCAGGTGTTGTGTTTATTAGGAAGAGGTGGAGTTACTGTGGCCACTGTTGGGGGCGGAAGTTTCGGAAGCGGCACAAAACACAGCATGTTACGGTAAAGTGTTTCCAGTGGTCTTAGATGTCGGTATATCGTGAGGGGGTGGGTCACCTGAAATATAGGTTGTTGTCAGCATCATTTGGACACAAAACTATGACAAAATTATCTGAACAACTATAAAAATATAAAAACACTATATATGAACAATTAATAAACCAAATTTGATGAACTCAAAATAGACTATATTTTATGTACACAACTATAACTGCATTATCTGAACAACTTATACAACATTAAATTAACAACTAAGACATGCGAATACAAGGTTAGACAGATGACAAAGTTATACAGATGACAAGATTAGACAGATGATAAGGTTAGACAGATGACAAGATTAGACAGATGACACGATTAGACAAATGACAAGGTTAGACAGATGACAAGATTAGACAGATGACAAGGTTAGACAGATGACAAGGTAAGACCGATGACAAGATTAGACAGATGACAAGGTTAGACAGATGACAAGGTAAGACCGATGACAAAGTTATACAGATGACAAGATTAGACAGATGACAAGATTAGACAGATGACAAGATTAGACAGATGACAAGGTTAGACAGATGACAAGGTTAGACAAATGACAAGATTGGACAAATGAAAAGGTTAGACAAATGACAAGGTCAGACAGATGACAAGGTTAGACAGATGACAAGGTTAGACAAATGACAAGATTGGACAAATGACAAGATTAGACAAATGACAAGATTGGACAAATGACAAGATTAGACAAATGACAAGATTAGACAGATGACAAGATTAGACAGATGACAAGGTTAGACAAATGACAAGATTAGACAGATGACAAGATTAGACAAATGACAAGATTAGACAGATGACAAGATTAGACAGATGACAAGATTAGACAGATGACAAGGTTAGACAAATGACAAGATTAGGCAGATGACAAGGTTAGACAGATGACAAGATTAGACACATGACAAGATTAGACAGATGACAAGGTTAGACAGATGACAAGATTAGACAGATGACAAGGTTAGACAGATGACAAGATTAGACAGATGACAAGATTAGACAAATGACAAGATTAGACAAATGACAAGATTAGACAAATGACAAGATTAGACAGATGACAAGGTTAGACAAATGACAAGATTAGACAAATGACAAGATTAGACAGATGACAAGGTTAGACAGATGACAAGATTAGACAGATGACAAGGTTAGACAGATGACAAGATTAGACAGATGACAAGGTTAGACAGATGACAACTGTACCTCATACCGATGGAAGTCTGGTAAGGGTTACAACAGGTTGTATTTTCTGTAAGGTTAAGGGGGGAGGGGCCCCAGCACCATACGCTAGATTTGAAGAGCTGGAACTTTCCTCACACCCCTCTTTACCGAGGGTATCAGTAGTTGTAGATGCTTGCGGAGTGATAGAATCTGACCTGTCCGATTGTTCTGGAGTATTCTGAGGTTCTGAACTAGAATTTGATGGTTTTAGCTCGGAGGCTGAGTTCACATTGTTACTGAGGAGAGGGACTCTATTTCCAAACTTATTGGAGTCCTTTAGCTCAAGTCTAGGCAGTCTGACTGACTTTAACGCACTGATGGAAGGCCCGGCAAGTAAGGGTAGTTTACTGGGACTTATCAAAGATTTGGTTTCTAGAACAGTCTTTGCCTGTTTTAGTATCTCTCTCTTTATCACTACTTTGGGTTGGAACTTACTGAACTGAAAAAGATTTGAATGAGTATTGTTAGTAAGTTTTGTGGTAGTAACCTATTAACCTAATAGTAACCTAGTAGCTAGATAATAACCTGGTAGCCAGCTAGAAACCTGGTAACCAGATAGTATCCTAGTAACCAGATAGTAACCTAACAACTACAGATATTACTCACGATGTTACTGGTAGGCGTGGGGGTTGTTTCAGGTTGTTTTTCTGTTCGTGTAGCAGGAGTCGCCGCTAATTTAGAAAACTGAAAATATTGTAGAGCCAACTTTTCTTGTGAGAACTGTTTGTTGTCAAACAATTATAATTTATACAATTATCCTACAATAAGAGGAGTGTGGGTTTTACAGAGTTAATTTTCAATGTTAACCGGAACTAATGTCGAGATTAGTTCTTACGTGACTCTTATAATTTTAATAATTTACTAATACTACACAGTATATTGTAACATCTCGGTGACGCGGGGTAAACAAAGAAACTAACAATGTTGCCGACAGGATTAGTAGCAAAGTTGGTGTAGGGGACAGATAGAGTTACGGGGACTGCAACATTTCGGTGGGGAACTTCTAGAGTCAGAGGAATACCGTACTTCTGTTGCTGGGGTGGAATCACGTGACTTTAGTAACCAGCTAGTAACCTAGTAACCAGCTAGTAACCTAGTAACCAGCTAGTAATCACGTGACTTAACAAAACTACAATAGCTTTGTCTTTTATCATTAAAATAAAATTATAACGTTAACGTAAGGTCCGTGTAAGCGAAAGTGAAAGCGAAAGTGAAAGCGAAAGTGAAATTACCCGTTGCTGGAGACAAGGTTTGCACCTCCATCTCCACATGATGGTTAGCTCCTGGTCGGTGGGAGACAGTGTACTGACCGGTTCTGTCTGACATGCCCAGTGGAGGGTAATGTTACAGTTCCAACATGTCATCATAGGGTCTGAAAAGAGAGTAATTCTGATACATTGCTTTCTTTACCCGATCATAGTATTTAAGCAAAACATAATATCCGTAAATTCTCGATTCTTTTGGCTCTTGGTGAAGACTGAAGCGTGTTTGCTCCAGATTTTCCACAAAAATATATTATTGGTAAGGTTCATTATCTGTTTCGAGCACCATGATCAGACCTTTTTGTGGTTACAAGTAATTGGGTGTAACTAAGTGACTGACTGGAAGCTGGGATGAAGCCAGGTACCTTGGCTGGAACAGAGTAGAATAGATAGAGATAGTTCACATATTAGCTAAGCCCATTCATTTTAGAACTGCTCACCCTCGCTTAACCACAATGTATAGAAATCACAATTTTCCTAACCCTCTCCTCTCAGGCTCTCCCCCTTCGTGGGGTTGCCTAATTTCATAGGGGAATGATCCTATAAAGACAGTATAAATTTGACTAAAGGTTCAATATTCATATATTGTAGAGTCTCCTGCTTTGTTGTGGTAAGCAAACCCGTTGCTAACTCCCCATAAACTGAGTATTAAAACTAAGGCCATTATGTCATTAGAAAAGACCGATTACCCTAGGTAAGAAGGTAAGAGCGTCGATGCGACCTTGAGCGTGAGAGAGCTGGATCATTGGTTGTATTTCTAGAACACTCTTAACGATTAAGTTGAGCAAGGCACTGTGATGCAAAGCATGTTTTTTTTGATATTCCCTCAATTTATTTCGCTCGTATCTAAATCTTACCCTTGCCCGTACGTTACCCTTGTTTATTTTAACCGACCCTGACATATGGGGGTGATTTGAGGTATCCCGCATAGCAAATGAAGCGGTATGTAGTACAATACAAAACAAGTCACAGTAGATGTTGGAAGGTGTATTTACAGTTGCTTCCTAGCTGTTCCTTAGTTTCCCTGGTCTTTTCTTGCCTTCTTCGAGCTGTAAATGAGCCATGAGGCCAAGTAGACGTTTTCGTGATAAACTGTAAAACCTCTCTGTACCGGGTTTCTCGCGGTATAAAACGTTTCATATACCGCATTAAGGGCCATATAATATACACGTATTGTGTCGTATTGTGATTGAATACAGCTCGATATGTACTTACATCACCCACCAAATGCGATATGAACAACTCGGTTTGATTGTTGAGGAAAAGAGGTCTGGTAAGGTAGGCCGGTTTAGATTAGAACAATTGACGGTACATATTATACAGAAAGGTTTTATTTATTACAAATGTGATTATCTTAATCCCACTGATTCATCATTGAAATCAATAAAACGATAGTACAGCAGGCTATTGGTTCGATCTTGACTGTGCCATTGGTGCAGTTTCTGTGAAAATCGATAAGGCTGTATTGTAATTAGTTATGAAACTCTAATATCGTATGGTTTACGTTTTTCAGTTTCAGACCTTTCCACTTAGTAATTCCTGATTACTAAAATCAGCCGAGATTTACTGAACTCCGACTACAAATATTGGTTATTTAAGTATTCTTGAAACGAAAAAATTCAAGAAGTTTTTTGAAAAGCATTTTTCTCCGCGTTTCATGCAATTTGATCACTTTTGGCGAAAAAAAATTTAGAATTTTCGAAAAAAAATATAAGTGACAAATTTTCAAAGATTTTCGAAAAACTGCTTTTCTCCGTGTTTTAAGCTATTCCGATAATTTTGAGCCAAAAAAACTGAAGATATTCGACAAACAAGAAAGGTGGTAAAAAGTGGTAAAAGTGGCAAAAAGTGGCCTTAAGACACGTGGAAAAGTTTGGAAAAGTTGGTCAGCCATAAAGGGCACCTAATGGGACTCAAAAACGTCAAAAATCCTTAGAAAGCTTCTGCCTTCTTGTGTCGGCAGATCGATTTTTTCAGACGGATCTGTCTGTACTAATAAGTAGGATCTCAGACCTTAGTTTAAGAACAAACATCTCCCACAAGCGTCTGCTTGTCCGCGGCCGGACAATGGACCCCTGAATGACCATTTAGCCATCTGGGACAATGCTTACATTACCCATTAGAACAAGATGGTGCTGCCAGATAGGAGCATAAAAGAGTAGCACCTCTGTTTTGTAGAGGGCGTGTCTGTCCGGAGACACAGAATACTTTTACTACTAAATAATATTACTCTTTAACAGTTCGCTCTTTCACCACCCCATTCTTGTAAGGAAGTTATTGTATATATTTACAAAGTTGCTTCATATGTGTATATTAAGAGGGATTAAGAGGGATGGCAGGGTCTCATTAGGAGGGCTTATGAGTGTAGTTATCGTTAGAAAAACTATAATAATACCCCTAGCTACCTTTAAATGTATCACACAATACGATTAGCTCCTTACCGTTAGAAAAAACTATAATAATACCCCTGGCTATCTTTAAATGTACCACAGAATACGATTAGCTCCTTCCCTTCGTATAATAATACCCCTAGCTACCTTTAAATGTATCACACAATACGATTAGCTCCTTCCCTTCGTATAATAATACCCCTAGCTACCTTTAAATGTATCACACAATACGATTAGCTCCTTACCGTTAGAAAAAACTATAATAATACCCCTGGCTATCTTTAAATGTACCACAGAATACGATTAGCTCCTTCCCTTCGTATAATAATACCCCTAGCTACCTTTAAATGTATCACACAATACGATTAGCTCCTTCCCTTCGTATAATAATACCCCTAGCTACCTTTAAATGTATCACACAATACGATTAGCTCCTTCCCTTCGTATAATAATACCCCTAGCTACCTTTAAATGTATCACACAATACGATTAGCTCCTTACCGTTAGAAAAAACTATAATAATACCCCTGGCTATCTTTAAATGTACCACAGAATACGATTAGCTCCTTCCCTTCGTATAATAATACCCCTAGCTACCTTTAAATGTATCACACAATACGATTAGCTCCTTCCCTTCGTATAATAATACCCCTAGCTACCTTTAAATGTATCACACAATACGATTAGCTCCTTCCCTTCGTATAATAATACCCCTAGCTACCTTTAAATGTATCACACAATACGATTAGCTCCTTCGTATGGGACCGCACGTGCATGCTGGGTAATGAGTTTGCTTATGACTATGTAACGTTGGGGGTTGGGATAGACACACCAGTTATCAGCATAGTAGCTTACTCTTATTGGTTACCTACTACTGATTCTAAACGATAATGACTACAGTAATTGCAAATCTAACGGGTTTCATCAAACATAGGAATATGTTTGAGATGCAGATGTTTCAATAAGTTCGGGTCACGAACCAAACTGTAAGTATAGTGTTACCGTGCCCTCAGTTATCTCTTTATCTCTAACCAGTTAGGACGTCGTCCAGCTGTTACACCTACAAAATTGCTTGCATACTCATTTGGGAAGGTGGCCAACTGCCAAGTCCTTGTAATGAAATCACTAGTCCCAGTGCAAGCGGCAGATCTCCAGATTCGACACGATCTATCTACCACGTGTTTTATGGCTATCTTGTCGGGTTACCGGATGGAGATTCAGTTTGGTAGGTTCCTACTTCTGCTTAAATTTCGAACAAAGACTTAAAGAAGGCATTTGCTTGTACGGCGTCGAATGCCCCCTCAATGTCCCGCCTATCCATTTCATCGATCGGGCAGCATTTACAAACAAAATGACTGCGGTTATTTCCAGGGCTTTTAGGTCACAATATGGATTGATAGCTGTGTATTATTTTCACACAATTATCTCCTTATCATCACGCGTGTCCTCTTCATACAGCAAAATTAGGGTAAAATGCAAGGTTTAGTGCTTTGAAATATCATTAAATAAATACACAGAAAATAATTTCAGGCCTGACCGTTTTTGGGCATTTTTTACAGTTTAAAACCCCCTCCCAACTTTTAAAGATAAATAAAACTTACTGAGTTTCCAGTCTGATTGAGAGAGACTACACCGTACACAAGAAGTGCTCCTCTCCTCCACATGGAATATCTGCTGCTGCAAAGTGTATTATAACTAATCTCCTTATATATGGGCATTTTAAAATGAACACCGTTCATTGAACACAACATATGGCTGCGTGGGGGATGTTATGCACTTTTGCTTTCCAGAAATCAGCCACTGATATGATAACAGTAAAATAATGAACTTGTAAACAGTGCAAATAAACAGTGCAAATAAACAGTGCAAATAAACAGTGCAAATAAACAGTGCTATTACTATTAGTATTGAACAGCATGATATTGTTACACCCCATTAAGAACAGCTTCAGCAAAGTAAAGGATTAAAATCACACCGCCCAAAATCAGACACACGTCACAGACCACGTTTAACACGTGTAACACTTTACAGACCACGTTTAACACGTGTAACACTTTACAGAACACGTGACACACGTGACACAACACGTGACACACGTGACACAACACAACAAAAGTGCAGTTTAAGCTGATTACTAGAGTGCTAACTTACATGATCATTGCCTGTCAAAAACTTTGGTGCACCCTAATAGTGAGTGATCAGAAGGGAATCAACAAAACTAATTAAAAACTAATTAAAAACTAATTAAAAACTAATTAAAAACTAATTAAAAACGGTAAATAACGTTAAATAAAGTAGAGTATTTGTAGTAGTGTTGGTGATGCTTGAGTGAGTCACAAGATAACAATTTCAGACACGTGGTGATTAATTAATTTAAGGCACTTGATAAGCTAGTCAATGGCTTTCGAGGAAAACGCTGGATAAAATTATTATATATATTATATTATTAAGAAACTGTTTACACCATTAAAATATTCAAAACCCCTAAAAGAAATCAAGTCATCCTAAAATGGTGATCAGTACAGATCAAGACAGCTAGAGTTAAAATTTGTTTCTCCAAGCAACTCTATCATCGGCTAATATCTTAAGCTTATTAAGATCATTCAAAGAGTTAAGTTTTAAACCTCTACGGGTCAAATCATTCACAATTATCTTGAACAAATTCTTACGATGCGCACCGACGCGCCCTTTACAGTTTGTTGTGACAGCAAACTTTAACGCTAATGCAGCGGGGGAGTCATCAGCACTACGCAAGATATGACCTAGGAGCTTCCACCTAGCTTTAGGGACACGATCTGATAGCTTTACTGAGTTACATCTTAGGTATAAGTTTGCATTGGATATTGTTCCATGAGGCCAATAAATGTTCAGTAATGATCTAAGGTGTTTTCTATGGCAAATGTCTAGTTTTTCTAGTGACTTTGCAGTAGGACACCAACTACTGCAATTGTACATGATGATTGATACAATTTGGGCTTCGTATACTGCTATCTTTCTGGTAACGGAGATATTCTGCTGAGACCAGATCTTGGTGAACTTATAGAAGGCATTGTTCCCAGCAATGCATCGAGCAGCTATATCACTTTCACTACACAACAATGACCCAAGAATCTTACTCTTCCGCCAATCTTCATTTCCACGTAACATGGTATCATCACGACCAGGGATTGTTTCTCCAACAGGAGCGAGGAAAACATGGGTAAATTCTGTTTTCTCTGTGTTAATGAACAGGTTAAACTCCTTGAAGACTTCCTTAGCTATTGGTAGGATAGCTTCTAAGGATTATTTTTCCACGTTCATGAAGTTACAATCATCTGAATACGCTGACTCCAGTGGCATACCTTCTTTTGAAATAGGGGGATTGGGTATGTGTGGGGGAGACTCTGCTAGTCGATGGCGTAGTTCTATAAGAGCTCCTGCTAGGACAAGAGTGAAAAGCTTGCCGGAGAGACTGTCACCTTGAAAGGACCCAAGAAGACTCTCGAATACAGCAGATAGTTCTCCTTCCACTCTGACCTTGAGCATGGTGTTGGTTAAGAGGAGTCTTACTAGCCTGAGGTCGTCGTCTGTGCATCCAGCTTTGACAAGAAGGTCAAGTATAGTCTGGCGTTTGATTGTGTCAAATGCTCGAGACATATCTATGCCCATCTTGTGATACTGGAAGTGTTTACGCGTGACAACCGATATCAACATCCGCTCAGCCCACACTAGATCACCACAACTTCTACCATGTTTGTACCCCGCCTGCGTGCTACCAGTGAAAGCATCAACTTTGTCTTCAATTCTCTTCAGTACAATCATGGATAATATCTTACGAGCACCATTTGATAGACATAGAGGTCGTAGACTAGTGACAGGACCAGCTGGTTTGCGAGGTTTCGGTAAGGGGGTGATGATGGCTTCACCTATAACATCAGGAAATGAATTGGTCTCCAATGCGCTATTGATGATCTCGGCATATTTTGACCAGAATTTTGTACCAGCATTTTTCAACCACTCGTTGTAGACTGAACTCACTTGGTCCTCGCCTGGACAGTCTCCAAATTACTGATCCAGCGCTTATAGAACTTAAATTTATTTTAAATACTGTGATTACGCAGCTTATCGAGGTTATGACCGACCTTGTTATTTCGTCTATCACTCAGCAGGAAAGTTTTATCCGTACTGCCAAAACTGAGCAGTATAGTCGACGAAATACGTGTGTTGTTGTTGGATTAAAGGTTGATGCATCTGAATCAAATAATACACACAGTAAGCTTGCTGATAATGTTTGTAAAACTCTTTCTACGGTGTCAGGTACCCCGGTTAAGCCGACAGATTTATCTGCCGTACATCGTAATGGCAGTGGTAAAACACAGTCGCAAGAGGGTCGTTCTACCCGATCTAATAATAAAACCCCTCCGTCGGTCACCGTTTGTTTCTATAACAGTAATTTGAAGGATAAAATTATGCAAAACTTCTCAAACTTTGACTCATCGGCTGATAAGCCACGTGATGTCAGACTTTATCAATCGTTAACTAAGTTCTATTCTGATCTCAAGACCCAAATATCTGGTCAAGTTGAGTCTAGTCTAGGTAAGAACAAGGTTCGTTGGATCCACTGGAGATCGCAGTCTGCTGGTTTAGTCGTAAAACTGAAAGATAGCAATCAAACCGTCATCAAGAGTATCTTCTGCTTTGATGATTTCAAGAAGCAATTTCAATCTCTAAACCTAAACTAGTCAGATTTCGATATTTTCTTAATTCTCCATGGTTCTATCAGCTAACCATTTGATTCACTAATACAGTTTTGATCTCTATAGTTTACCGCTTGGAACTGTCTAATACGGTTTAAACTACGATTTTTAGATTATTACGGTGCTAACTATACCACACATTATTGACCGCTTGATTACGTCACTAGCTTTTATTGCGTCACCCGTTGTCTTGTTTTCCCGCGCTGGTCGTATTATTGTGAGTTTTTATCTACATTTTATCATCATTTAATCATTTAGTTTTTCACCCTCTGTCTATTGTTGAACAACCTTATCTACTATACTGCCCGTTTAATCACCATTTTCACCATCTTTTCCCATTAAGTTGATATCTAATCTGACATTTTATCTTTTCATCGCTGAAAAACTTAAATATGAAAATCTTATTTCTGATCGACAAGGTTCGAGCTATTTTAGCAAATTGTGGGGTTTTAAGGTTAAACCTTATAATTTCGCTTCGCCTTCAATAATTTATAAAAAGAAAAGAAAAGAAAAAGACAACAAAAAAAAAGAAAAAAATACATTGGTAAAAAAGTCGTAAAAAAAAGAAAAAGAAAAGTTGAATTAAATAGACAGTTTATGCAAAACATGTTTTAAAATAAAGTTTCCATTACTCAAGTGTACGTTAACAAGGTTAGGGACTTGCTTTCGATACTATGTCACATTCAATATCCCTTAAAACCAACGAGGTAAAACGTGAAAATTGTTACGTTTGTTCAAAGCACGTTTATCTACATGATTCGGTAGTTGTCTGCTCACTTGACGGCAGAATTTATCATAGCAGATGTTTTAAGATTGACAATTACTCCGCATCGGAGATTCGTAGATATGACGATTGGTATTGTCCTCTCTGTTGCAGAGAGATGTTTCCATTTTTTGATGATACCACTGATTCAAATGTTGATAATTCGCTCAATTGGTCAGATCATATAAACTATATCGGGAAGAAGGTTTCCAAAGTTAATGGTGTGCTTTATCAACTTCGTAAAACCGCCCCTAAAATGTTAAGAATTGCTATTTTTAATGCACTCGTACAGTCGCATCTCTCCTATGGGATCACGGTTTGGGGAAGCAGCACAGCAACTAATAAGTTGAATAAACTTTTTATCAATCAAAAAAAGGCATTAAGAAATGTGTTCGGGATTCGCAGAGTTAACAAACATCAGCAAGGAAATACGAAGCGTGTTTTCAGTGAAAACAAAGTGCTTACCGTGTATGGACTTTATCATAAATTTATTCTCACTGAGGGATTTCAGGTAGTGCATGCTGGTGGTTACCCAACGTTACTAAGAAAACACTTTCAAACTTCAGCTGTTAACGATAAACGGCTTATTTGTCCCAGAGTGTATTATAAAGATAATATGCACAACATGTTATACGCTGTTCCCAGAATCTGGAATGCTGTTAACAACTCAAGTTATCTCACTAGAAATATTACCACAATTTCATCCTTCAAGAACAATATTAAGCAGTTCATTCTCATGTACCAATCTAATGGTTCAAATAACACATGGGAACCATCCAATCTTGATGCGCAAACATTTTTTGTCACTGCATCTAAGAACCCCGAGTCATACTCAGTTACACGTTAACACCATGCATGTTGTTACCATATTGCATGTTTTTGATATTTTGGTATGTGACTGCATGTACATTGTATGTTCAAATTGGACATTTTTTAGATTCTTATTCAAGCTGGGTAATTCCGACTGCATGTGCATGTTCATGTTCAATTTGTGACAATTCTTATTCAGTGTGTGTGATCATTTGAGCTGCGTTTTTAGCTGTTTTACCTTGCTTAATGTTCTATTTTGAATCTTAAATTACCCCCTGAGGGGCATAGCTCCAACACTTCCCCCTCATTAAACGCCCCGTTTCTTTACTATGTGGGGGTTTGATAACCCCCCCCCATTTTCCGTAACCTTATTTCAGCAGCTTTTCTCACTTGGTGTCGCACAGTACATGTATTGTGCGACACCGGGTGAGAAGAGTCAAACGGGGTTCGAGATGCTCGGGTTTAAGATCACCAGATTACCTGATCTTACTGGAAGTCACAACTTTGACACTACACCTAAAGCATGGACGCATACGGGAAAACTCTCTGCATCCTGATGCTGACTATTCCCTCATCTTTCTCACTGATAGCAAATTTATCCCTACTCTGCTATTACTACTAAGTTACTGCCTACTACTTTAGTTACCCTGTCTTGACTACCTTTTGATTGGGTAGCTAGTTGAACTTTATTATTTTATTATGGACACATTGGATCTCTGTTAATAACAATTTTTGACATCTGTTGTAATACAGTAATGTATGTGATTTTCGCGTTTTTCCTCATTTATTCTGATCATGGATATTGATTGATACTAAGATTTTCACATTTATGAGAGTTTTTGAATTTTGGTCGCGTAATTTTGATTTTATTTGAT